AAAAAAAAAGAAGAAAGATTATGAGCGCAGTGGAGCACACCTGTAATCCCCGTAGCTTGGGAGGCTGAGGCAGGAAGATTGTGAGTTCAAAGCCAGCCTCAGCAACAGTGAGGAACTAAGCAACTCAGTGAGACCCTGTCTCTAAATAAAATACAAAGAAGGGCTGGGGATATGAGTCAGTGTTTGAGTGCCCCTAATACCCCTGGTACCCCACCCCCAAAAAAGGAGTAAGATTATGAAGGAAGCTGAGCATTTTTTCATATCCTTAGGTCATTTTATTTTCCCTTATGAAAATGGCCTTCACACCTCCTTTGGTAATTTTCGTCTTTAAAAAAATTATTTTGGGGGGCCTGGGATTGTGGCTCAGTGGTAAAGCACTCACCTAGCATGTTCGAGGCCCTGGGTTCGATCCTCAGCACCACATAAAAATAAGATAAAGAGGGCTGGGGGTTGTGGCTCAGTGGTAATGTGCTCACCTAGCATGTATGAGGCACTGGGTTCGATTCTCAGCACCACATCAAAATAAAGACAATAAAGTCCATCAACAACTAAAAAAATATTTAAAAAAATAAGATAAAGATATCGTGTACAACTACTACTAAAAAATAAATATTTAAAAAATATTTCTAGCAACTTTTTATATTTAGGTAGAATACAGGTCAGAGAGTAGAATTACATTGTCTCATTTTGAAAATATTTTTGGGGTACTTCTACAGACCAAACCCAGGGCCTTATCATGCTAAACATACAGTCTACTACTGAGCTACACCCTCAGACTCTTAAAATGATTTTAAAGTAAGAAAATAAAAACTATATCTGGTCACCTTTCATGTGTATGTACTCAGGTACTTCTATCACTTGGGGATACTATGGAGTCACAGAACATCCTTGGGTAAAGGATGGGTTTTCCTGAGACCCTTTTTGTCCTTGTTGAATAGAACCATCACCTATTTCTCTCCCACAGGGCTACGGCATGGCATACACTGTCCACAAGTGGTCAGAGCTCAGCTGGGCCAGTCACTGGGTCACTTTTGGATGCTGGATCTTCTACCGTCTCATAGGCTGAGGCATATAACCCTTATAGACCCTCAAGACTCCTCCTCAGAGTGCCAGCTCTGATGGGGGGGTAAGAGAAGGCCCTACTCCTGGACCCGTCTCCATTCATGACACCACCCACACACCCCTACACACACGCACACACACACACATTTCCATGCCTGTCAATCCCCACCCCACCACAAGGCGGGAAGGGGGTGGTCCCTGTTAAGGCCTAGGGGTGGGGGATACATGGGGAAGCAGAGAGGGGGAGATGCAGGGCTTCCCTGCCTGCCTTCTCCCTTTTTATATACAGTTTGTTATTGTCAAATAAAAGTAGAAATACACAATAGGCTCTTTCTTCACTGGTCAGATGCGAATAGGAGTGTGAGGAAGGGGGGGTACAGCACAGATAAAGGTTTAGAAACTGAAAACCATGTAGAGGGAGCAGTTCATAGTTAATTTATGATTGTTAGTGATGGGTCCAAGGATGGCAGTGTCCTGGTCCTGCTTGACTTGAGTGGAGTGGGTACAGATTTTATAGCAGAACGTAGGGGAAGTCTGATAATAATTGGCCAGAAAACAGGGATCCCTGTTCTGATTGGTTGTTCTGGGACAGACGGGAAGGAACGCGTGACAGATGAAGGCTTGACGCTTATTGGCTCCTAGATCTGAAGGTTGGGGGTTCTAATTGGATGAGTCTGAATTGTGACTGGGAGCTCGGTTTGGGTGTCCAGGTTTAGCGTCATTTCATTCTGGTTGGCTTTTTAGAATTGGCTCAGTTGAGGGTCTCCATGCCAATTGGCCAGCAGGACCGAGAGGCCTGGATTCTGATTGGTTCTTCTGACTCGAAGTCAGGAGAGATGAGGATCACCTGCTGCTATTAGGACTTTGGAGTTATGAGAGCAAAAGTTCAGGGCCAGTGGAGGGCAAGGGTTTTGCAGTGTGCATGATGTGACCTGCCTGTCATAGTTTCCTTGCATTGAGGGTTGGTCTGGGAACGGATTGGTTGTCTATAAAAACAGAGAAGGCAAGAAAACGCTGTCTCTCCAGCAAACGTGGAGCTTGTCTATCTCCGCTGCGATTGCTGAGGGGTCGGGGATGTTGAAACCAAGAATCGTTGCAGATTGGTTACAGGTCGGAAATGCCCACCAACCTTTGACAGTCCCCGCCTCCACCCCACTCCTGACTTGGTCTCAGCCAACAGCGAAAATGGCACCACGCGTGAGGATGGGACCTGCAGCACACGGAGATTTCCTATTGGTTGGGAGGCACCTTTCCCGCTTCTCCATTGGCCTGCTTCTTTAGGCGGGGGAACCGTGAGGGGATGGGCCCGAACTAGGGACGTTTTCTAGCGAAAGTCAGCCTAGCGAGCTCGGGAGCCTGTGGGAAACGGCTGCTGGCTGCTGCGACCGCGCGGCTTCGGTGAGTGCTCTCGCCCGACTCTCCACTCCATCCCCTAGCTCTCCACCACCTGATGGCCCGCCCTCCGCCAGCCTCGCGGGCCTCTAATCCCTGACCCTTGCGCCTGCGCGGGACCCCTTGCTCCCCGCGGTTGTCCGGACGACGGAAGACCCGCCTTCTCGTTGGGTTGTTGGACTGGAGGGTTCTGGTTCTGATTGGTGGTCTCTGTGTTTGACTCCCCTTTTCCTCGTTAGCGTCGCCCGGGAGATCCCAGCCCTTCCTAGTCGCGTGCAGGTTGGCAGCATAATATACTCTTGCCAGCCGGCTGTAACTTTTGAATAGTGGGCTTTAAATGCTTCGCCCACGGTTTCCTTCCCTCTGGCGGGAGCGAATACCTTTCCATTCAGTAGTGTAAACATTGGCCTGGTTCCTGTGTCTTGCCACTGCCCTGTGGGTTGCAGTGCTGCATGCCTGTAATCCCAGCGACTCAGGAGGCTGATATAGGAGGATTGCAAGTTCGAGGCCAGCTTCAGCAATTTAATGAGACCCTGTCTCAAAAAAAAAAAAAAAGATAGAGAAAGGACTGGGTATGTGGCTCAGTGGTTAACCCACACCTGGGTTCAAACCCTGGCACTAAAAAAAAAAAGAAAGAAAGAAAGAAAATAGTGTTAGTTCTGATTTCTGGGGTCTGTCTTGGTGACTGAACTCACCTACCAGACTGTAACCAATGAGGGCTGGGATCAGGAGCGGTTCCTGTGTGTCCCACACCAAATTGTGACCCCTGAGGGCTGGGACCAGACCTGGTACCTGTCACCTCCTCTAGACTGTGACCAGTGAAGGCTGGGACCAGTGAGGGCCTTGTTTCTGTGTGTCCTTAACAAGATTGTGACCCCTGAGGGCTAAACCAGAGACCTGTTTCCAATTACTGCAGCTCCCAGAGGGCTTGAAGGACTTTCAGTCTTTCTGTGGCCTTATTATATTCATGTTCTTAAAGAGTATACAATTCCATTATTGTCTATCTATCTCTAAAATTAGATTATTTATAATCCAGTTTTACAGTCAGTCCATTAACTGGTCAATTCAGTCCATTTACGTTTCTTGTAGTAATAAAGTATTTGGATTTAATTTAATTATCTCACTTTGCTTTTTATTTGCCCAGGTTATTCTGTTCCTTTTTTCTCCTTCCTGTTAGTCCACACGTGACTGTCAGCCCACAGAGACATGGCCACCAACGCAGGCCCCTTGCACCCATATTGGCCTCGGCACCTGAGGCTGGACAACTATGTGCCTAATGACCTCCCCACCTGGCATATCCTGGCTGGCCTATTCTCCATCTCTGGGGTCATAGTTGTGACCACATGGCTGTTGTCAGGTCGTGCTGCAGTTGTCCCACTGGGGACTTGGCGGCGACTGTCCTTGTGCTGGTTTGCAGTGTGTGCATTCATTCATCTGGTGATTGAGGGCTGGTTCGTTCTCTACCACGAGGTCCTTCTTGGAGATCAAGTCTTCTTGTCTCAACTCTGTGAGTCCTGAATTCTTATGTTATGGGAGGGAACTTCCTGGGCAGGGATTGGCTTACAAATTCTTCAATTAATTTATTTGAAAAGTTTAAAAAATAAAGATTTTTTTTAAAGAGGGCTGGGTCTGGGGCTCAGGAGTAGCACACTTGCCTGGCATGTGTGAGGCAATGAGTTTGATTCTCAGCACCACATATAAATAAATAATAAATAAATAAACAAAGGTCTATCAACAACTTAAAAAATATAAAAAAAGACAAGGTCTCACTAAGTTGCCCAGGCTGGCCTTGAATTTGTGATCCTTTTGCCTCAGTCTCCAAGTCACTGGGTTTCCAGATATGCACCACTGTGCCCCATTGAACTTTGCTTTTTCAAATGAGGTCAATCCTAGCCAGGATTACATGCTTGTAATTGCCTATAATCCCAGGGTCTCAGGAGGCTAAGGCAGGAAGATCTCAAGTTTGAGGCCAGCCTCAGCAATTTAGCAAGGCCCTAGGCAACTTAATGAGAACCTGTCTCAAAATAAAAAAATAAAAAGGGATGGGGATATGGCTCAGTGTTTAAGCACCACTGGGTTCAATGCCTAGTACCAAAAACAAATAAATAAAATAAATTGAGGTCACTCCTTATCATAAAGAGCTTTTTCTTTTTTCTTTCCTTTATTTTTTTTGGGGGGGTACCAGGGATTGAACTCAGGGTACTCGGCCACTGAGCCACATCCCCAGCCCTATTTTGTATTTTATTTAGAAACAGGATCTCACTGAGTTGCATAACACCTCGCTTTTGCTGAGGCTGGCATTGAACTCACAATCCACCTGCCTCAGCCTCTCAAGCTGCTGGAATTATAGGCATGTGCCACTGTGCCCAGTTTATAAAAAGCTTTCAAAGCATAGATGTAATAAATTTATTTGATATGTACAATCAATACAGTGCATTTCCCTCTAATCTTCTACTCTCTCGACAATATTTCTTTCTGGTCTCATGAATAAAGCTGCTATGAACATTCTAATATGTGTCTTTGTGTTGACTAAACCTCTTTTATTTCTCTGAGTAAAGATGTAGAAGTAGAATGGCTGGGTCTTATGGTAGGTGTGCATATAACTTTATGAAAAACTACCTGGGGCTGGTTTTGTAGCTAAATGGTAGAATGCTTGCCTAGCATATTTGAAGCCCTGGGTTCCATCCCCAGCACTGAAAACAACAACTACTACTACTAAACTGTTTTCAAAAATGGTTGCACCTAGCCAGCACAATGGCACATGCTTGTAATCCCAGCAGTTTAGGAGGCTGAGGCAGGAGGATCATGAGTTCAAAGCCAGCCTCAGTAACTTAGGAAGGTCCTAAGTAACTCAGTGAGACCCTGTCTCTAAATAAAATATAGAAAATGGCTAGGGATGTGACTCAGTGTTTCAGTGCTCCTGAGTTCAATTCCTGGTACCAAGAAAAAAAAAAATGATTGTACCATGTTACATTCCCACCAGCAAAACAGGACAATTCTAGTTCCTCCATATCCTCACCAACATTTAGTATTGTCAGATATTTCCTAAATTTTAGTCATTCTAGTGAATGTGAATGATAACTCATGATTTTAATTTGCTTTTCCTTAATGACTAATGAAAGTTTGAGAAACTTTTATCTGAGCACTGTGGCACACACCTGTAGTCCCAGGGATTCAAGAGATTGAGGCAGGAGGATCACAAGTTCAAAGCCAGCCTCAGCAACTTAGTAAGATCCTGTCTCAAAAAATAAAAAGGGTTGGGGAAGCCGGGCACAGTAGCATATGCCTATAATCCCTGCAGCTCTGGAGGCTGAGGCCAAAGGATTTTGAATTCAAAGCCAGCCTCAGCAACATATCAAGGCCCTAGGCAACTCAGCAAGACCCTGTCTCTAAATAAAATATAAAAAAGGTCTGGAGATATGGCTCAGTGGTTAAGCACCTGTACTAAAAAAAAAAAAAAAGAAAAAAAAAGGCTTGGATGTAACTCAGTGGTTAAGCAGCCCTGGGTTTGATCCCCATCAAAAACAAATGGATTAAGAGAGCTAGGAATGTAGTTTAGAGGTAGAGCACCCTTAGGTTTATTCTCCATTACTATAAACAAACAAACAAACAAAAAAGTTTGAGCTCTTTTCATGTTTATTGGCCACTTGGAAATTCTCTTTTGTGAAGAACTGTTTAGGTTTCCTGCCAACTTTTACCTTGGGCGGTTCTGGGTTTGGGTTTTTTTTTTTTTAATTTTTTCTCTCCTCCATGCTGGGGATGGAACCCAGGGCCTTGCACATGCTAGGTAAACATCTACTATGAGCCACAGCTCTAGCCCAAGTGATATTTTTCTTATTCTCTATTCATTCTTTCATTCACTCATCTGTTCACCTGCATATATGCTCTCTCTTGCACACTATCTATCATGAAATATTTCATTCACTCCATCATCCCTTTTTCTTTTGGCAGTGCTGGGGATTGAACCCAGGGTCTTGTTCATGCTAAGCAAGTGCTCTATCAATGAACTATACCCCCCACCCCATTCACTCCATCATCTATCTGTATCTGCCTCCTTTTATGCCACAAATGCTTTTTTTCCCCTCAGTAGTAGGGATTGAACCCAGGATGCTATTACAACTCAGAGCTACCTTTCATTTATTTTGTTTTTTAAAATTTTGAGACAGGGTCTTGCAAATTTACCCCAGAGTAGCCTTCAACTTGTGATCTTCCTGCTTCAGTTTTCCTAACAGCTAGCAATACAGGCATGCACCTGCCAAGTCTGGCCAAACACTTCTTGAGTATCAAGAAGTCACAGCAACACTGTTCTGTGTCACACACATTCTTTTTTTAAATGTTTCATTTGTTATTTTTAGATATACATGACTAGAATATATTTTGACATGTTATACATACATGGAGTATCACTTCCCCTTCTTATGGTTGTACATGATGTAGAAGACACACATTATTAAACTTTAGAATCCAAACTGCTACCCCATTTCACAGATGAAGAAACTGAGGCATGGAGAGGTTATGAAGTCTGCTAACTTACAGGGGCCCCAGTTCTCACAAAGGAAAGTTCCTTTTCTTCCTTAATTCTTCATGTGTGTTTTTCTTTTCTTCAGGGAAAGAGTATTCCAAGGGAGACAGCCGATACATCATGTAAGTGTTTCTGGGTCAATGGAGCCCTGCATAGGTTTGAGGTGGTGGTAAGTCAGCTTTAATAGGGTGCCCTGTGCACATAGCATACTAATTCCAGTGTCCCTCCATCCTTTCTCTTGCAGTAATGACAACTTCACTATCTGTATGGAAACCATCACAGCTTGCCTGTGGGGACCACTCAGCCTATGGGTGGTGATTGCCTTTCTCCGCCAGCAACCCCTCCGCTTTGTTCTACAGTTCTTGGTCTCTGTGGGTGAGGCACTGGGCACTAGAGGGATTGATGGGGGAATCCACAGACACAGGTATAGCCCCCTGGGTAGTATCTCTCTTGATTATGTCCATCCAGAGGCACATCAGCCTGAGTGACCAACTCCCTAAAGTACTAAAACAGCCATGCCCCTCTCTGATCTTGCATCTCAATTTCTCTTCTTCCTTCATCACAGAGTCTCCTATGAAAGTTATATGTAATGTCCTATGCTTTCAAGAAGCCCCTGGATCCTCTAGGACAAGGATTCTGAGTTCCCTTATCTGAGACTCAGTCTTCTTTTTTTTAATATTTATTTTTTAGTTTTAGGTGGACCCAGTACCTTTATTTTACATTTATGTGGTGCTGAGGATTGAACCCAGTGCTTCGTGCATGCTAAGCAAGCGCTCTACCACTGAGCCACAATCCTAGCCTGAAGACTCGGTCTTCTTATATTTTTTGGTACTGTGGATTTAACCCATGGGCAGTTAGCCACTGAGCTATATCCCCAGCCCTTTTTTGTAGTTTATTTAGAGACAAGATCTCACTGAGTTGCTTAGGGCCTGGCTGAGTTGAACTCCCAACCCTCCTGCCTCAGCCTCCCAAGCCATTAGGATTATGGTGTGCACCACTGTACCCAGCTAGTCTTCTTATATTCTTAAATTGTTAACTTTCTTTAGTTCTGGATGTAGGGGTTCCCTTTAGCCCTGGAATCTAAGCTGTCTTGGATTCTGAACTTCCTTCAATTCTGGACATATGAGTTCTCCTGAGTTCAGAAATTCTCAGTGCTAGCTGGATGGCACATGCCTATAATCCCAGCTTCTTAGGAGGCTGAGACAGGAGGATCACAAATTTGAGGCTAGCCTGGACAACTTAGCCAGACCCTGTCTCAAAATGATACTTTAAAAAGGCTGGTGATGTAGCTCAGTGGTAGAGTACCTCTGGGTTCAATCCCCAGAGCTGCCAAAATCTTCTAAATGCTCTGATGTATAGAATTCTCATTTTTGGATTTCTGAAATTTTTAGTTCTGTGATTTCAGAATTCTTAGCTCTCTGAGTTTAGGATCCTAAGATCTGAAACCTTGAAGGATGACTTGGGAAATGCCTTGAAAGAGAGTCTGGGTTAGCCTCCTCTTCCTCACAGGGGTTGATCCTTTCCCCTCCTGCCTCCCACAGGCCAGCTTTATGGGGATGTACTATACTTCCTGACAGAGTACCGTGATGGATTTCAGCATGGGGAATTCGGCCATCCACTCTATTTCTGGTTTTACTTCGTCTTCATGAATGCCCTGTGGCTAGTGCTACCTGCAATCTTCGTGCTGGATTCCTTGAAGCAGCTCGCTCGTGCCCAGAGAACACTGGACAGCAAAGGCACAAAAGCCAAGAGCAAGCAGAACTAACAAGCAGTGGACTGGCCTGGAACACTGACTGATGATGTGTTCCTGCCAGAAGAGTCCAATCCTGCTCCCACAGGTTGGAGGGGCCAAAGCTTATTGATTTGTGACACTCAGACTGATGAGTGGCCACAAAAAGGGTCAGATATGAGAAAGATAGGGATTGTATAGCACTACTGCCAGGAGCCATTGGGAACAAGACATAAGGCAAGGAACAAGACATAAGCCATGATGGTGGCAAGTTTTAAAATCAGAAAATAAAATATCATAGCTTGAATACTGAGAGATCTTTAATTACTAACCCTAGAAATGCCTTGTGATTAATCTCTTCTTCACTCACTCATCTGCAGACCCCCCATCATCATCTCTGACTTCACAAACTCCCAGTACTGATCTCACATGATCCCATCATTTACCCTAACGACCCCATAACTCACCACCTGGACTCCTGAATTAAGACCACCCCATCACTCACCCCATAGACCCTATCACAGACTCCATAGGCCCTTCTGTTAGTCAGCTTGAAGTGCCATACCAGAATGCCACAGTCTGCATGGCTTAAACAACAGAAATTTATTTTCTCAGTTCCGGAGCTAGTCACAGTGTCCATAGGATTTATTTCTTCTGATATCTCTTCTTGGCTTGCAGGTGGCTGATTTCTCACTGTGTCCCAACGTGGTCTTTTCTCTATGTACCCAAGCTCCTGGTGTCTGTGTGTATATGTGTGTCCAAACTTCGTCTTAGGAACTAGTCAGATTGGATTAGCCACCCTAACAGCCTCATCTAAAATAAAGGCCTTATCTCCAAATACAGTCACATTCTGAGGTACAGGAGTTCAGAGCTTCAGCATATAGATTTGGGGAGGAAATGATTCAGTCTATAACATTCTGCTCTCTGTTCTCCCCCAAATTCATGTCCTTCTTGCATATAAATTATATTCATCCATATCCCAGCAGCACAAAACTCTTTGCCCATTCTGGCATTGACTTTTTTTTTTTTTTTTTGAGGGGCGGGGGTTGCTGGGAATGGAACCCAGGGCTTTGCACATGCTAGCCAAGTGTTCTGCCTCGGAGCTACACCCCTAACCCCTGTATTCACTTTGAATCCCAACTCTTACCTAAATATCATCTAAATCAAGCATGGGTGAGAGGTACGATTCATCCTAAGGCAAAAATTCTCTAGCTGAGAACCTGTGAAACCAGATCAGTTTGCTGTTTCCAAAATGAAGTGTTGGGACAGGTATAAGAGAGATATTCCCATTCCCAAAAGAAGAAATTGGTAAGAATAATGAGATCACAGGTCCCAAGTAAATCCAAAACCTAACAGGGCAAATTCCATTACATTTTAAGGCCTAAGAGTAATCCTCTTTGGCTGGATACTCTGTCCCCTGGCCCACCAGGGTCGGGTCAACACCTTCTGGGCCAACTAGAGCAGCATTGTTGCTTTCTCTACCTCTGCACTACAACTAAAACTCGTGGCCCTGCCCTCCAGAATTGAGGAGGGCATGGCAGTACCATTAGGGTCACTCTTCCTTTTTTTGAAAGTTAAAATATATTTATAGCCAGAAAGTTCTATTGTTTTGTTCTGTAGAATCTCAGAAGGTAGACAGCCTTCCTTCATTTTATCCCATCTCTATTCCCTTTAGTCCCAAGCTACCTGAGTGTTTCCACTGGTATTGTCCCACCTTTATTCCTGACTTCTGCTGAGACAGCAGATTAGATCAGTGCAGCACACTCATGATTTCTTTATGGAGTAATTTTCCTGCCACACTCATACTGTTCTCTACAGAACACTTTTTTTGTTGTTGTTGTGGTGGTGGTGCTGGGGATTGAACCCAGGGCCTGTGCATGCAAGGCAAGCACTCTACCAATTAAGCTATATCCCCAGCCCTCCAGAACACATTTTTTAAAAAATATTTTTTAGTTGGTGATGGGCCTTTATTTTATTTATTTTATGTTGCTGAGAATTGAACCCAGTGCCTTGCACATGCTAGGCAGTGCTCTTCCACTGGGCTAAACCCTAGCCCTCCAGAACACTTTTTGATTTTGTAATATTGGACAGGCTAAGAATTTTATGAATCTTCACATTTTTGTTCTTTCCTTCCTAATACTTCCTTTTCTCCCTTTCTTTCTTTTTTTCTGTACTAGCAACTGAACCCATGGGAGTTCTACCACTGAGCTACATCCCCAGCCCTATTTTGTATTTTATTAGAGACAAGGTCTCACTGAAATGCTTAGCGCCTCACTTTTGCTGAGGCTGGCTTTGAACTCAAGATCCTCCTGCCTCAGCCTCCTGAGCCACTGGGATTACAGGGGTGTGACACCACGCCCAGCTATTTATCACAGTTCTTGAGGCTAGCACAGATACATTCTGTTTCTGTTGAGGGCCCACTTCCTCATAGATAGCACCTTCTTGCTGTATCCACATATAGTGGAATGACTGAATTCTAGATTCTTCATTTCTTTTTCTGGGGTGGGGCAGTGCTGGGGATTTAACCCAGGTGCTTTACCACTGAGCCATATCCCCAACCCTTTTTATTTTGAGGCAGGGTCTTGCTGAGTTATTTAGGGCCTCACTAAATTGCTGAGGGCAGTCTCAAACTTGCCATTCTCTTGCCTCAGCATCCCAAGTCACTGGGATTACAGTTGAGCACCACTGCCACCATACCAGGTCCTCTTTTTATTTTTTGTTTTAAAACAGGGTTATCACTAAGTTTCCTAGACTGGCCTTGAACTTGCAATCCTCCTGTAATTCATTCCTGAACTTGCAGACTCCTGCAGAGTCTCAGCCTGCAGAGCAGCTGGGATCATAGGTATGTACCACCATACGTGGCGCAATCAAGGCTTTTTCTAACATATACCTCAAAAACTGTTCCAGCCTCAGGGGTGGGGATGTGGCTCAGTGACAGAGCATTTGCCTAGCATGTATGAGGCACTGAGTTTGATCCTTAGTACCACATAACAAATAAAATAAAGACAGTCTGTCCATTTACAACTACAAAAAAAAAAAATTAACTCTTCCAGCCTCTACCCATCACCCAGTTCCAAAGTTACATTTCTATATATTACATTAGCACCCCACTTCCCAGTATCAAAATATACATTAGTTTGCTAGGGTTGCCATAATAAAAATGCCACAGACCAAATGGCTTAAACAACAGAAATTTACTTATTTAATTTTATTTTTTGGTACTAGAAATTGAACCCAGGGGTACTTTACCACTGAGCTACATTCATTATGTTGCTTGTTACTTAGGGCCTTGCTAAGTTGCTAAGGCTGGCCTTAAATTTGCCATTCTCCTACCTCAGTCTCCTGAGTCACCGAGATTACATGCCTAGGTCATTTATTTTTTTAAATGAAGTTTTTACATGAATGCCAACTTTATTTGATTTATTTTATTTGTTGTGATGCTGGGGATCAAACCCAGGGCCTCACATATGCTAGGCCAACACTCTACCACTGAGCTACATCTACACCCCTAGAAATTTTATTTATTTATCTAGGTACTGGGGATTGAACTCAGGGACATTTTGTCACTGTGTTACATCCCCAGCCATTTTTATTTTTTTATTTTGAGACAGGGTATCACCATGTTGCTTAGGGCCTAAATTGCTGAGGCTGGCCTCTAACTTATGATCCTCTTGCCTCAGCCTCCCAAGTTGCTGGGATTATAGGCATGTACCATTGCACCAGAGCAACAATATATTTTAAATGGAAAAAGAAAAAAGACCACTGCCATTATGGTCTCATTTAACATTAATTACCTTCTTAAAGATTCTATCTCAAATATCTTCCACTTTAGAGGGTGGGGTTTCAACATAAGAATTTTCTTTCAGGGATACACAATTAAATTCACAAATTCATTATCACTGACCCCCCCCCAGAACTCATGGGTGCCACATCCCACACCTCACAGGGTTGCCAATGCTCACACCACATGCCCCCCCTCTCTATTCAGCCTTTTTGACTCTGATAAATCATCCCACAGACACTCTGCCTATCATCTATACCACATACCCTACAACTGACCCCACAGACCTCCATCATTCATACACTATCACTCACTCTATCACTTACCCTAGACACATCACTCAACCATAGTCCCCTATCACTCATCCCCAAAGTCTCCTATACTCACCCTGAAAACCATATAACTTATCCCATAAAACCCTATCACTCACCCTACCAACCCTATCACTGACATCACAGATACACCAATCACTCATCCTATAGATCCCTTATAACTAACCCTATAGACTCCCCATAACTCATCATTTTAGGAGGGGTATCAAGGATTGAAACCAGGGGAACTTTACCACTGAGCCACATCCCACGCCCTGTTTATTTTCAAAACAGGGTCTCACTATGTTGCTTAGGGCCTCATTAGTGCTGAGGCTGGCTTGGAAGTTGTGATCCTCCTGCCTCAGCCTCCTGAGCCACTGGGATTACATATATGAGCCACCATCCCTGGCCCTCTAACTCATCTCACAGAACCCATGCCTCATATCATAGACCACCCCCAGGTTCCATCACTGATCCCACAGACCTCTTATCACTCACCTTACCTATCATTCCATCTGTCAACTTGCAGTTCTCCACCATTCATGGTATATAACCCATTGGTCACCAAGAGATGCCTTAATCACCCCCAAAACACCTGTCGCTTACTATTCAGACTGCCTTTCACATACTCAGAGTCCCTTCATTCCCCCTACAAATCTCCCTACAGGCAACCTATTATTCACTCCATAGATGCTCCACAGTTACCCTGTGAAACTCCTCCTCATTCACCCTGAAGACCCCACCCCTTATTCCATACTCTCTATCATTAAGTAATTGATTCCTTGAAGGATTTCAAAGAGATGGTAAAGAATGTATAATAAAATGGCAGATACTTGAATACTGGTTTTAGGTGACCTGTATAAAGCCAGACTTCAGCTCAAACTCTGGCTCTCTTCAGGCCTACAGTATAGACTTGAAGAAATGTCTAATTGTTAATGCCAAAGCCCTGCATAATCTGAACTCATTTACTTTCTCATCTAATATACTATCACTCTGTTGTTTACTCACTATAAAGGCATGCTGATTTTGCTCTGCATCAAATATACCAGGCATAGCCCATCTTTCTGTCCATTGCACTACTTATTCTCTGTGCCACTTACTACCTGTTAACCTTGAGCTTGCTTCTCCCTGGCCTTCAATGTCTTGTATATAAAATACTACTACTAATAATAATGCCTACCTCATAGGTTTTTTTTTTACAAAATATTTATTTTT